TTTTCCCCCCCCCCCCCCCCCCCCCAAAGCAATATGAGGACAAATAGTACAAATGTCCATTCCTACAAGTATGCCGGAATTATTATAAAATTGCCAAATCTGAAAATATATCATAGGCTTCAAGCAGGAAACTGGTGGCGGTCAAGTCGTGAAAGAACTATTAAGAGTGTCCATGATACAGGAAGAATCAACAGGATTGTCCATGGCACAAAGACACAGGATGAGATACGACATCCAATCTCTGAGAAGAGAATACTTGGAAAAGCACGTACCGTTAAAGGAATTACCTGGTAGGTGCTTAAAGTTACTACACACAGGTAAATTTCACGAGGCAATGCATGTACCGATTCTGGCTCAATTCTCCTGGACAATGTCCCCGTAAGACTACCCATCCAATGGACAATTCTCTCCCAAGATAATTCTTTCCCTACCCCCACCCCCGACGATTCAACCAAGACAACCCCCTTTTGAAATTTCTATTTTAGGCGTGTATTCATTTCTTGAATATTTTACTAAAAATAACAAATGAGAGAGAAAACATAAAGCAAAAATATAGGCTGAATGCCCTAATTTGTTGATAATTTAAGCTGCGATACACTGAAACTATTTAAGGAATTCATCCAAATGAAATTAAAATTTAGCGGATTGTACCATATCTTCTAAGAATTTTCTCATTATAAATTCAACAATATTGTGTTATTTTCAGTGGTGAGGCTCCGTTATAGTAAGTTTTTCGCAGATATTCTTCAGTGTGTTAATAACCAAATGCTGTCCAAGAACTCAATGTTTGCCACTGCCACCATGGACGTGGTATGGAAGAACTTGGAGAAGCTGCTCACACAGGCGATGCATTGTACTGAAGACAGCTACAAGAGTTTTATCAAAGTAGCTGTGCTGGCAGAATACCCTATCATCAGTTTCTTCCAAAGTATGTTATGGAATTATTTTTATTATTTATTTTTTCTTTATTGAAAAACTAACAAGTATACTAGAGTTTGTCTTTGTAGATCTGCATATTTCAATTTTTTTAACATTTTGCATGTGCATGTATTACTTTGCTTTCTGTATAATGTAAAATGCTTCATTTTTTGCAGCGTGTGTATATATTTATTTGGGTAGCTGAAAATGTACATTAGAAATGTACATATATATATATATATATATATATATATATATATATATATATACTTTCTTCTACTGATGTAACTAGCTGATCGTGGCCTTCGTAAAATGTCCGAGAACCAATGAAGATTATTATTTTGTCGGTAAAAATTAATCTATTGGGAAAGTACCCGTTAAAACCGGAGGCAAGGTCGGGCAAGATGATACTGTACAAAGTAAACACATTTTAACAAGACGGTTGTTCAAAAATATCAAATATATAATATAGGTCCAGTATCTATAAAGCATATCTCTCAATCACGATAACGGACTAGCTATTTTTTGCAGAAGAAAGCATTGGTTTCTACGAAGACATGATGGAGCAGTCTAGAATGTTTGACGGTGCTGACCACAGACATCATGGACTTATGCTATCAGCATACGCACAGGCAGTGACCAATATTGAGGTACATAAATAATTATTGAAAGGTATACGATTTGCATGACTTTCTATATTTATGCAAGAAGACGCACCGTTTCTTTTAACATTGGATCCAGTTGGGTATGCCTATTTAAAGATTGCAACTTATTGGCTCTAATGTTATTACTTCATTTATGATTTAAGGTCATTTGCTCATTTTTTTCCTTTTTCAGTGTTTTTTGTAAAGTGGTTTCGTTTGTGCGTGCGTGTCTATATGACAGTTGCTATGCATATTTCAGGGTGATATACAAAAAGGCATAGATTATTATGAGAAGGCGAGGGTAATTCTTTCCGTCAAGGGTACTCCTGTAGACATGGCCTCTCTGTTCCAGCATCTGGGTTGGAACTACTACAAATATGGCCACCTGAATAAGTCACAGAGGTAAGTCTTTAAGATGAATTAAAGGTTTTGCACCAAACACATTCTAAAGAGAAATACGCATCTTTTATTTTCTCCTGTTAAAAGATATCAGTGTCAAACAGTTTCTAAAGAGACATGCCATGTGAATCCCGACTCTCATATATTTTGGACTATGAATCTTTGAGTAGAGGTTATATTATCTTGACAGGTACCTTCACAAAGCATACAAACTGGAAGAAGAGGGGGGTATGCACGCAAGCCTTCTTATGAGTCAAACCCTTTCGACCCAGGGCCTCGTCTTTTCTATAATGGGTGAGTGCGGTTATCACGTTACGAAATCTTCGTCGTTTTAAAATAGGAGCGTGATCTATTTAAGGAGCAAATAAACTGAAGAACGGCTGAAATTGAAAAGAGTCAATTTTCTTAGGAAATTAAGCTATTTCGCAAGCTGTAAGTGTATACGTAATACGTCATTGGCAGTCTGCCACTACCTGTATTAGTTAACTCATGCGACTTTGTGCAAAAACCAATAATGGTATCAACATTGCCTTTATTCATGGTAATTGCAGGAGAGAAGGAAAAAGCCATAAAATATTTTGAGGATACCCTTGACTTACGCATATCTAACTTTGGAGAGCATCATCCTTCCATTGGGGCTGTCTACAACAATATGGGACTGACATATCGCGAGTTGGGAGAGGATGATAATGCACTGAAGAACTTCGAATGTGGTCTTAGATGCAAACGTAGATGCATGAAACAAGCCAACCTGTCCATCGTTTACTCTCTAAGTAATACAGCAATGCTCTATGTCAAAAAGGGGAATTTTGACAGAGCTATGTCTATGCTGCAAGATGCTTTTTCTATGTGTCAGAAGATTGGAAAGACGACAGATATAGCTCTCATTTATGATGACTTTGGACTTGTTTGTATGAAGAAAAAAGAGTTTCCTGAAGCTGTGGATTATTTTCAGAAAGCTGTTGACATCCGTAGAGAACATACACCTATTCATTTCACATTGGTTGAGCACCTGCTTCATTTAGGACAGGCACAGGCTGAGCAAATATACGAGGCAGTGGCTCAGCTAGCTGACCAAGAAAACGTGGCACCAAATGGACAGACTGTGGTTACTGAAAATAACAGCAATAAATGTGAACAAGCATTTGAACATCATGATGGGAATTTGTCCACGAATGAACAAAACACAATGCCCAAGGCGACTGGTAGACCACGCCAAGGGGCTCTACGCTGTGATCAATATCGAAATCTATATGAACAAAGTCGGTCCAACTTGCAAGAAGCTGCTGAATTAACTCCTCAGGTTCATGAGCAATTCCCAAAATCTAAAATGCCGTTGACAGTATATAAGGAACTGGCAAAGCTTTACAGGGTGGCTGGTGAGGTCAAAGGATCGACGAAAAACGAAATGTTGGCAAAGATGGAAGTGACGCGTTTGAATAGACTTGGTGTACAAGTTGATGAAGAATTTTCGGTAGAGGAAGTTTGACATTTGCTCAAAGAAAACAGCCAAATGGCAGTTTAGAAACGGATGACTGTAAGATTCAAAACAATGATATTGTTTATACCGGTGTAATGTACCAGAAGGTCCCCCATGACATAGAGTCCGCTTCCCATTTATTTGTACAGGTGAGCCTCGCCCTAGATTTTGGCCCACTCAGGTCAAAGTAACCCGAACCATTATAACTCTATGGAGGACGGACTTTCTGTCACACAGACCCTCAGTTTCGCGCCCCCTATTTGATAGTGACAAAAACTGAATAAATATGGTTTGGATCAGCATGACTGGATCCATAGTAGAGGCCATGACACAAGCACCTGTGCTTCAGTATTATGACATTCAAAAACCAGTCACAGTGCAGTGCGATGCATCAGAGAAAGGAGTTGGGATGGCGCTACTTCAAGAATTAAGAAACGCCTGTGGCATTTGCGTCACGAGCATTGTCACAAACAGAGCAAGGATATGCACAAATAGAAAAAGAGCGATTTGACCAACATTTATTTGCATGGTCGTGAAGTTATAAATGTGAAAACTGATCATAAGCCATTAATTTCCATATTCAAAAAAGCAATTTACTCAACACCCACCAAAGAGATTACAGAGAATGCTGATGCGTTTGCAGAAATGTAATTTGAATTTGAAATACTTACCCGGATCAAAAATGCACATAGCAGATATGCTGTCAAGAGCATATGTCCCGCCGAGCGCTAAATTGAAGTAAAAAGAAGTTCCAAGATGTTACATATTCCAAATGTCTGAGGAAGGCAAGTTGTGTAAGGACATAGAAAACATTAAACAGAAGGAGCACGTGTCTCTGTCACATGCTACGCATAGGCAGATACAGCAAAGTACGCAGTCAGATGCAGTTCTACAAACGTTAGCTCAAACGTTAGCTCAAGGGATTTAAAGTACTTATTCCTCTGAGTATGAGACCCCAGATCATAACTCGTTCTCATACAAGTCACCTTGGAGTTGACTCATGTGTACGGAAAGCCAGTGATACTGTTTTTTGGCCTGGCAAGGCAAAGGACATAGCTGAGAAAGTAAACACATGCACTGTGTGTAATGAATATGAGGCCAAGCAGCAGAAAGAACCAATGATGACACACAAGTTACCAACTTTGTCCTGGAGCAAAGTAGGCCAAGATTTGTTTACGTTGCGTGGAGAGAACTATTAAGTAACTGTTGACTATTTTAGTGACTTATTTTAATTGGATAAGCTGGAGGACACTACAAGTTGCACGGTAATTGAAGCTACTAGTACTCATGAAAGCTCACTTTGCAAGACATGGTATTCCGGAAGAAGTCATTTCGGTTAATGGACCACAGTTTATCAGTCAAAAGTATGAGAAATTTTCATAAGAATGGGGTTTTGAACATAAATTAAACAAGCTCTCCATATCATAGCCAAGCGAATGGCAAAGCAGTCAAGATTGCAGAAAGACTAAGGAAAAAATGCAAACAAGACTTGCACGTACCTATTTAAGAATGGGGTAATACTAATACACCAGGATACATGCCTATACGTCCCCGCACCGATACTCCCCCGCTTCTTTACATCCCCGCACCAATACTACCCCGCACTGATACTCCCCCGCTTCTTTACATCCCCGCATCCATACTCCCCCGCACTGATACTCCCACGTACCGATAGGGCTCCGCAAAAACACTTCTCAAAACCCTTTCTATAATGCTTTTTTTTTCAAGATGCACCATCCTCTTGGGACCCAAAATTGACACATTTTATTCGAAATATATTAGGGAAAATAAAAAACGTTTCACGAAGTCGATCTCAGACTTTGTGTGCAGCTTGACAGTAGCCTACGTAAGCCTACGTACAGCTCTTCCTTGTGATTTTTGAGAAATGCTTTTTGCAAAATTAATATCGATCTCCTACTGTAGTTACCGTATATATTATACGCCCTTTTATTTATTTATTTTTTTTTTTTTTTTTTTACTTAAGGTGACGTAGGCGTATGACCCTTTTAAGCTCAAGAAAATATATGAAGAAAATTTTTGAAAATTGTTGCACAACGAAATTGTAGAGACACGAGCATGCGTCGTGAGCACGCCTTTTATACTCGCAGTCCCGCCGTGTTTTCGACTTACTTCGTTATGTGAGGGCGTGCGCCGTGCTCAACAAGCAAAGGCACTTTCTCCTTCATTGCTTGCGACGTGCATCTTGGACCACGCAAGTCTCACTTGCAACCTACTCGCAAACTCCTTGCGAAGGGAGCAAGTTACGCCTAGTTAGGCATATATATACACAAGTTAAAATTGTTCTAGATATAGTATGTTTCAGAAAAATTAAGAAAAAAATGGTAATTTTAAAGGAAATGAGATANTATTCATTTCACATTGGTTGAGCACCTGCTTCATTTAGGACAGGCACAGGCTGAGCAAATATACGAGGCAGTGGCTCAACGAGTTGACCAAGAAAACGTGGCACCAAATGGACAGACTGTGGTTACTGAAAATAACAGCAATAAATGTGAACAAGCATTTGAACATCATGATGGTAATTTGTCCACGAATGAACAAAACACAATGCCCAAGGCGACTGGTAGACCGCGCCAAGGGGCTCTACGCTGTGATCAATATCGAAATCTATATGAACAAAGTCGGTCCAACTTGCAAGAAGCTGCTGAATTAACTCCTCAGGTTCATGAGCAATTCCCAAAATCTAAAATGCCGTTGACAGTATATAAGGAACTGGCAAAGCTTTACAGGGTGGCTGGTGAGGTCAAAGGATCGACGAAAAACGAAATGTTGGCAAAGATGGAAGTGACGCGTTTGAATAGACTTGGTGTACAAGTTGATGAAGATTTTTCGGTAGAGGAAGTTTGACATTTGCTCAAAGAAAACAGCCAAATGGCAGTTTAGAAACGGATGTCTGTAAGATTCAAAACAATTATATTGTTTATACCGGTGTAATGTACCAGAAGGTCCCCCATGACATAGAGTCCGCTTCCCATTTATTTGTACAGGTGAGCCTCGCCCTAGATTTTGACCCACTCAGATCAAAGTAACCAGAACCATTATAACTATATGGAGGACGAACTTTCTGTCACACAGACCCTCAGTTTCGCGCCCCCTATACCGAGTATTTGATAGTGACAAAAACTGAAGAAATATGGTTTAGATCAACATGACTGGATACATAGTAGAGGCCATGACACAAGCACCTGTGGTTCAGTATTATGACATTCAAAAACCAGCCACAGTGCAGTGCGATGCATCAGAGAAAGGAGTTGGGATGACGCTACTTCAGGAATTGAGAAACGCCTGTGGCATTTGCGTCACGAGCATTGTCACAAACAGAGCAAGGATATGCAGAAATAGAAAAAGAGCGATTTGACCAACATATACAGGGTATTTGCATGGTCGTGAAGTTATAAATGTGAAAACTGATCATAAGCCATTAATTTCCATATTCAAAAAAGCAATTCACTCAACACCCACCAAAGAGATTACAGAGAATGCTGATGCGTTTGCAGAAATATAATTTGAATTTGAAATACTTACCTGGATCAAAAATGCACATAGCAGATATGCTGTCAAGAGCATATGCCCCGCCGAGCGCTAAATTGAAGTAAAAAGAAGTTCCAAGATGTTACATATTCCAAATGTCTGAGGAAGACAAGTTGTGTGAGGACATAGAAAACATTAAACAGAAGGAGCACGTGTCTCTGTCACATCCTACGCATAGGCAGATACAGCAAAGAACGCAGTCAGATGCAGTTCTACAAACGTTAGCTCAAACTATAAAGAATGGATGGCCAGAGCAGTGTTCAGACGTACCAATTGCATCATAGAATATTAGACTTTCAGAGATGAATTGACAGTGCAAGATGGAGTGATTTTTAAGGGATTTAAAGTACTTATTCCTTTGAGTATGAGACCCCAGATCATAACTCGTTCTCATACAAGTCACCTTGGAGTTGACTTCTGTGTACGGAAAGCCAGTGGTACTGTTTTTTGGCCTGGCATGGCAAAGGAAATAGCTGAGAAAGTAAACACATGCACTGTGTGTAATGAATATGAGGCCAAGCAGCAGAAAGAACCAATGATGACACACAAGTTACCAACTTTGTCCTGGAGCAAAGTAGGCCAAGATTTGTTTACTTTGCGAGGAGAGAACTATTTAGTAACTGTTGACTATTTTAGTGACTTATTTTAATTAGATAAGCTGGAGGACAAGTAGCACGGTAATTGAAGCTACTAGTACTGAAGCTCACTTTGCAAGACATGGTATTCCGGAAGAAGTCATTTCGGTTAATGGACCACAGTTTATCAGTCAAGATTATGAGAAATTTTCAAAAGAATGGGGTTTTGAATATAAAACAAGCTCTCCATACCATAGCCAAGCGAATGGCAAAGCAGTCAAGATTGCAGAAAGGATAAGGAAAAAATGCAAACAAGACTTGCACGTAGCTATTTAAGAATGGGGTAATACTAATACACCAGGATACATGCCTATACGTCCCCGCACCGATACTCCCCCGCTTCTTTACATCCCCGCATCCATACTCCCCCGCTCTGATACTCCCACGTACCGATACTCCGCAAAAACACTTCTAAAAACCCTTTCTATAATGCTGTTTTTCAAGATGCACCATCCTCTTGGGACCCAAAGTTGACACATTTTATTCGAAATATATTGGGGAAAATAAAAAAACGTTTCACGAAGTCGATCTCAGACTTTGTGTGCACCATGACAGTAGCCTACGTAGGCCTACAGCTCTTCCTTGTGATTTTTGAGAAATGTTTTTTGCAAAATTAATATCGTTCTCCTACTGTAGTTACCGTATATATTATACGTCCTTTTATTTATTTATTTATTTATTTATTTATTTATTTATTTACTTAAAGCAAAGTTAGTTTTTATCTAAGATAACGCAGCTATGTCTTTTCTTCAGGCAATGATGAATTCGTTAAATTATTAAGTAATAAAAAAGCAGTGCTAAAGCGCTTCGTTTTCTGTCTTCTTCCTCCAACCTTCTTTTCTGCTCTTTAAGCTTCTTTCCCTTGTCTTTTGGAGGCATATTAGAATCTGAATTGAGCAAAATTCAAAATTTTTGAAAATTGTTGCACAACGAAATTGTAGAGACACGAGCATGCGTCGTGAGCACGCCTTTTATACTCGCAGTCCCGCCGTGTTTTCGACTTATTTCGTTATAGATGTGAGGGCGTGCGCCGTGCTCAACACGCAAAGGGCACTTCTCCTTCATTGCTTGCGACGTGCATCTTGGACCACGCAAGTCTCACTTGCAACCTCAGGCCCGTAGCCAGGGGGGGTTCGGGGGGTTCGAAAGAACCCCCCTTTTTGCTGGAAAAAGGTCCACTTTGGGTAAAATTTGACCTAGGTACATGGGGATTATATGGTAAAAGGGCCACTTTTTCAGAAAAAGAACCCCCCTTTTGAAATTGCTGGCTACGGGCCTGAACCTACTCGCAAACTCCTTGCGAAGGGAGCAAGTTTCGCCTCGTTAGGCCTATATATAGGGCCTACACATACATACATTATGGTAATTGTTTAAAGCTGCATAATACAAGTTAAAATTGTTCTAGATATAGTATGTTTCAGAAAAAGAAAAAAAAATGGTAATTTGTAAAGGCAAGGAGATTAAGCAGAGTTTTAAAGGAAAGGAGATATTGTGCACTTGACTGTCTTGATTAGTTATTTGAGTACTCTCTAGTAGAAGGAGATTGAAATAAAGTGTTGAACGTGAAACGTGCGTTTTCTGGATTCATGTGTGAAACCGCGTGTCGAGCTAAAGAAGCAACGACGAACAGCATGAAATCCAAGCAGGTATCAAATTTGAACAACGTGGTGAGTGTTTATTATAAACTTCTTAATTTAGGAAATATCCTTGAACGTTTTCATTGCAAATTTAATGAAGTTAAGCGCTTTTTGCTAGTGGCAAACTCGGGGAATCCCAGCTTGGGGAATCCCACAAGAGAAGCCAAATCCGATTCCTGTGCCTATGCGTCAGCGGAAACGTATTCAATGTGAGTCAATTTCCCGATGAAAACTTGAAAGAAAATGCTGGGGCACGTCCTTCTGAATGGTTTTCAATATATTTCAAGAGACTTTTGTGTCTAGTTGAACGTTTTATCGACGCAAACCACGTCACGGGGGTTAGTCATAAACCGAAGGTCACTTCCGGAAAGTTACGTGAAGTTATAACAGGTTGTAGGTCGAAGAGTTAAAAAGTTTCGAGAATATATCGTGTAAGTCCAAGTTACAAGTTAAGTTACAAATTAAATAGTTACAAGTTGTTGTAAGTTACAACCTGTCGAGAATACGAAGAATACGACCACTGTTCTTTTACAGATGTGTATATCTCTATGTGTGTTCATTTTCAGAACAGGCAATTTCAGATCCCGAGAGTGATCAAGAGAAAGCTGAGAGATAGAGAAACGACAGGAAAGATGAAGAAAACGGGTAATTTCACCAACTGAGTTATTTTTTCCCAAAGTTTATTACATTAAATGTTTATTTCACACCATTTTCAAATTGGGCATCGATACGTTGGGTTTCTGAGAAAAAATTAAAGGGCCACATAAAAATTAATTCATGATGTTTTAAATGTAATTGCATATGCATGTACAAAGGAAGACGTTGTATTTGAAATATGCAGAGAAGTGTACTTAGAAAAGAATGTAGGAAATTGTTCTTAACAGTTGTCCTTTAAACGTGTGTTTATTCTCAGAGCCTACATTATCAGAAACAAGGAAAGCAGGGAATGCTACTCAAGAATCTGAAGGGGATGAGGAGTAAGTTTTTACCTTAAAATTAATTGTATTGTCATGAGCTTGTAAAAAGTTTCAGGGCTGAATTTTGTAAGACAGGAGAAATTACAAGCCTGATATTAAAGTTACACAAATGTACCTAAATTTTCCTGAGGTTTATGACTGTCATCCTATCCTCACATCTTTGCTGGTATACTACACATTACTACTATTTAATACTTTTCTACATTTATAGATTTGATTTGGCACTGGAAGATTTGTCTGATGAAGAATTAAGAGACTTTGTCAGTTGCTTATCTTTGGTGGTAGACACTTTAATGTCAATTTGTATTATTTATTTTGTCGTAATGATTGAGATTCGTAGTGGTTACATTATTTGCAAGTTAGTATCTCAATGTTCATGAAGTCTTTGGCAGTCCCTCCGTTTACACATCGCCTGTTTGCCATTAAAATCCGAAATAATATATGTGAGGATCACTTCAAAGAGTGCATTCCCAGAGATTTAGATTGATCCAGAGATTTAGATTTAGATTGACCTAACTCCCTGGGATTTCACACTAAATTGCCGTCAGCCAAGCACACACCATAGTTAATTACCCCCTTACAGCTTTTAGTAGGCGGGACAGACGCTTAAGCCGGCTAAGCTGACAGTAATCTAGTGAGACTCCCCACAGGGATAGATCGATCTAAAATCTATGGGAATGGGGTCAAAGAGTCTTCTTTTTTCTCCAAATATAGGTATGATTTAGTGGGAGTAGAGAGTCTGTCGAACAGAGAAGTTGCTGTTATAATAAGTGATGTTATGTATAAATGATCAGTAATTTTACATGTTATACTTTTGGTGATTGAAAGGTTGCAAATATCTTGATCCAATCTAGGGGTGCTTTCCCAGAGATTTAGATCGATCTAAAGATTAAGATTTAGATTGACCTAACTCCCTGGGGGTTCACGCTAAATTGCAGTCAGCCGAGCGGGCACCATAGTTAATTACTCCCTTACAGCTTTTAGTAGGTGGGACAGACGCTTAAGCCGGCCAAGCTGACAGTAATCTAGTGAGACTATGGAAATGGGGTGTAGGATAGGCCTAAACAACAGCATATGAGTTGCAGCAAGTGATTGCTGCAATTGCAGGCATGTTATTTGAAGGTCGATACATGTATTAAGTGTGGAATTGAGACAAGCAGTGTTTATTTGTATGTGTATTTCGTATGTGTTAATAGCTACTTAACTGGTATGTATTATGCCATTTTATTACTTGCAGAGCTTGTAATGCTAAAGGCTACCCGAAGGTTGCTCAGAAGCAGCCAAGACAAGAGTACAGGTAACAAATTCATATATTGTTCTTTGCAATACTAATCAGTTAATTGAGTCTCATATATGTATATGTGCTATAAATTTTTATAGATTTTGTGGATATCAAAAAAGTGAGTGGTAAATGTTTGCAGTTGCTCTAATACATTTTTTTCAGTAGCCATTTCCTTATTTCTCATCTTTTGACAAAAATGCACATTTATTTTGTCATAAAATCACTTGTGCTATCAACAAAATATATAAAGATGTAAATTTGTGTAGGATTTTTATAATGAGCTATTGATGTAATGTGGAATAATGAATATCCAATGTTATGATTTGTCCTTCCAGAAGTATTGATTGTGATAATTGTGATTGCTGCAATTGCAGGCATGTTATTTGAAGGTCGATACATGTATTAAGTGTGGAATCGAGACAAGCAGTGTTTATTTGGATGTGTATTTTGTATGTGTTAATAGCTACAAAAATGGTATTTATAATGCCATTTTATTACTTGCAGAGCTTGTAATGCTAAGGGCTACCCGGAGGTTGCCCAGAAGCAACCAAGACAGTTCAGGTAACAAATTCATATATTGTTCTTTGCAATACTAACAGGTTAAAAGGATAATAACTCTTCATTTTGGCCAAAAAATGAATTTTCCTGAAGTAAACAACAATTTTCCCATACTTACCAATGGTTAATGAATCCATTTTTACATTCAAAGTTAGTCCCTGGTTTTTTTCTAAAAAGTTTGGTTTTTTGTTAAAATCTCTTAAGAGA